TTAATGCATAATATTAATATATTACAATATTATTATATAATACTATTATTATATTATAACTCATAAATTTTATTGTTCTTCAAATAAAATGGTTTTTGTTAAAGAGTGTCTTATAAATGTATTTTGATTTTTTTAAATATCATGATCCATTGAATGAGGAGCAAAATTACTGAAAATATTTGACATGTTTATATTCTGTAAAACTTGAACAGTCATTTTTTGCTTTGAATTTTTACACATCATGATACTTTATCATCATCATGATAAATGGTATTACATTTTATGCGAAAATCCTCTTTAATCCTTCTTTAATCCATTCTCGTTCTGAAATACCCTTTGTTGAATTCTAATCAACTTATCTTCAACTTATATAGATTTATACTCTTAAGGTAGGACTTGATATAGGTAAGATTCACGCACACATAAGCACTTTTTCTATACGTATGAACCTACACCGATTTGCGTTTAGTTCTTAAAAATTTGATATTCGAGTATGGTGGCGCCTATGTCACTTTATTAACATTGGAAGCTTAGGACACTAGCGGTCCATGTATATATAGTCAAAGGTTTACACTATTGGAAATTGTTCGTGAGATCTTCAAGAATGACATATTTCTTAATGAACAATTGTTTAGATGTTTTCACCTCATAGTATAAAAAAATGTCGCACCATAAATGCTTTCCCCATAACAACCCATGTTAACTTTGATATTAAATAAATTAGCCCCGCTTGCCCTACTGCCTTAATAACTTTTATAGAGGATACTTAAAAAGGAATACATTCTTAAAATTTCAAAGATTTCTTAGATAATTTATTAGGACAGTATCCGCCAGGTTTACGCACAATGTTATTACGTGTTGGTTTAGCCATGGATGAGATGGCTATTCGGAACAAAGTGGTTTGGGATAAAATACAAAATTTTGTCAAATACATAGACACTGGTATCCATATAAACAACCGTGAACAGATACCACTGGCGAAGGAGATTGGTCTACTTGCTGACTGGAATTAATCAGCGGTAGAAAATACCGGTTGCATATTTTTTTATATCTGGCTTAACATTAGAGGAAAAATCAGAAATTACAAATAAAGTTTTGTACTTTGTTTCGTTAGCCAATATTTGCGTCATTGTTTTAACGTTCGACGGTCTTGCGGCAAACATAAATATATACCGCAGACTGAGCGCCGATATTTTAGAGAAGGAAAGCAGTTTCAAACAACCAAATGGCTATAAAGTCCGTGTATTCTTGGATGCCACGCACATGCTGAAATGAATCCGAAATACGTTTTCATTAGAACGTATTTTATACGATTATAATGACGAAGAAATTAATTTCAAGTATGTTGAAAAGGGCCTAGCTGGATAAAGGTCTAGCTATACAGACGCAACAGTACCGCAATGGCATCGTTAACGCAATGGGAACGTAGGTCTCCAGAGGTCGCAGGATGTAATTTTTAGTGCCGTAGTCTTTAGGACAGGGTATAGGAAAAAGCGTGTAAAAGCAGGGAGCTCAGGGCTCCACGTTTGACACTGAATCGCCAGGCGGGAACTGCCTGCTGTTTAGGGTCCACTACATACGTCCTATCAGATCTCTCTGACAGGGATCTCATAATTTATCCCGCACGGCTCGCTTCCCCTCTTTTTCGCCCGTATTTCGATCCCCACTACTATTCTCCTCATGCGCCTTCGCTGACCATGCCTAGCATACCCCCATGAAGTACTAGTCCCCACCATGGTCGCGTCGTCCCCACTTTCCGGCCGAGGGATAAATTATGAGAACCCTGCTCTCTGATCCTATTACTGTCCTAAAGACTACGGCACTGAAGCTTACGTCCTGCGACCTACGGAGACCTACGTTCCCATTACGTTCCCATTGCGTTACGTGCCGTTACGGTGCCCTGCCTATGGCACCACGTTGGTGCCACCGCCACCGGTTGTGAAAGTGTTAAGGGGGTCAAAAATGCCCTTGCGCCGAATAATGGTCGATCCCCACAGAGCGTGCGGTGCGGCGTTTTTCAAGCCGACCGTAAGTTCGATCAGGGCCGAAAACCAAGTTTCCAGCCTATACTAAAAGCATGTAAACGTCGGAGACTTCGAAGGGCCCCAGTGAAATTTTGTCTAGCTCGAGAGATCGAGGACCAAATGTACGGGTCAGACCACCGCTGTTCGTCCCAAAAGGTCAGTTTACAGCGCCGCTTGCGCCATTCGATAGATTATCAGAAAATAGACACGCACTCTAATTTTTAGCCCTATATCTCAACCAGGGGGGTAGTAATTGGGAAAATTCGAAAAATCAGTTTTTTGACATTTTTCCTTATTTAACGCCTTGCAAAAAATCTGAAAAAAATTTGTTCGTAGTGTTTTCAGCAACTGAGAATTTTTTCTCATTTTCCCCTTGCAAAATGTAGGCGTGAAAAATAAAAGAGTGCTAAAAGTACTATTTCATAACACGAGGCCGAAAAGTACTATTTTCACACAGAAATCTTGAGTGCACTAGATTTATACATATACGGCAGGCTTCGTTGAAGCTATAATATTGAAGAAATTGAAATGTTTTACGTGCCTAACTTTTCTGTTTAGTGTAGACTCTGGGACGGTCCGGAACTTTATACCGTAAATTTAACAATCAAAAATTCCTGCGATGTAATAACAATAACCGTCGACGATTTGTCATGGTTCACAGAAACGTCTCTGTTATTTCAAATGATTTAATAGCAATTAATCCAATCTCGCTGGCTTCTTACGAGTGTGAACCAGAATTCCAGGACTATCCGCACTACAGCTTTCAAGAACTGCATGGTCAGTTTCTGATGTTTCGTGCTTTCATTGGAAATTAAACAGATCAATGAGATCCTGATTATTTCGATCCTGCGCTATATTTAATAATATTTCTTTTTGGTTTCGAACAACCGTAAACTCGTTAAGATGACGACCATATAGAGCGGTGTTATCTCTCTCATCTCGAATCACTAAAAAATTAAATAATTGTTCTGGAGAAAATTTTGATTCTGCTATTTTTAAAATTAACTTAAGTAAATTATGTTGTGAATTAAACGGTTTAATATGGTCCACAGCACAATGAAGAGCAGTGCGCTTACTATCATCTTGAATCTTTAGACACTCGAATAATTGTTCTGAAGAAAATTTTGATTCTGTTTTATTTAAAATGCACTCAACTGTGTCATACTTTGACTGCAGATCACAATCATAAACGTCCAAAGCACGATGAAGCGCAGTGCGATTTCTCTCATCTCGAATCACTAAAAAATCAAATAATTGTTCTGGAGAAAATTTTGATTCTGCTATATCTAAAATTAACTTAAGTAAATTATGTTGTGAATTAAACGGTTTAATATGGTCCAGAGCACAATGAAGAGCACTGAGCTTACGCTCATGTGGAATCGATATAAAGTCGATGAATTCATGTCTGGAAGAACATTTTGATCCTGCTTTATTTAAAATTACATCAAGTATAATACACTTTGACCGCGGATCACAATCATTAACGTCCAAAGCACGATGAAGCGCAGTGCACTTTCTGTCATCTTGAATCATTAGAAACTTGAATAATTGTTCTGGAGAAAAATTTGATTCTGCTTTATTTAAAATGACCTGAACTGTGTCATACTTTGACTGCAGATCACGATCAAAAACGTCCAAAGCACAATGAAGCGCAGTGCGATTTATCTCATCTTGAATCTTTAGAAACTCGAATAATTGTTCTGAAGAAAATTTTGATTCTGCTTTATTTAAAATAAACTCAACTGTCTTATACTTTGACAGCAGATCACAATCCTTAACGTCCAAAGCACAATGAAGCGCAGTGCGATTTATCTCATCTTGAATCTTTAGAAACTCGAATAATTGTTCTGAAGAAAATTTTGATTCTGCTTTATCTAAAATTAACTTAAGTAAATTATGTTGTGAATTAAACGGTTTAATATGGTGCAGAGCACAATGAAGAGCAGTGCGCTTACTCTTATCTTGAATCTTTAGAAACTCGAATAATTGTTCTGGAGAAAATTTTGATTCTGCTTTATTTAAAATGAACTCAACTGTCTTATACTGTGACTGCAGATCACAAGCATTAACGTCCAAAGCACGATGAAGCGCAGTACAACCGTCCTCATTTTGAATCATTAGAAAATCAAATAATTGTTCTAGAGAAAAGTTTGATTCTGCTGTTTTTAAAATGAACTGAACTGTGTCATACTTTGACTGCATATCACGATCATTAACGTCCAAAGCACTATAATGCGCAATGCGCGCTTTCTCAACTTCAATCCTTACAAGATCAAATACATGTGCTAGAGAGTTGCGTGATCGTAGTATATCATGTACTAAATAAAACGGTCTCATATTGTACAGAGCACAATGAAGAGCAGTGCAACCGTACTTATCTTGAATCATTAGAAAATCAAATAATTGTTTTGAAGAAAATTTTGATTTTGCTGTATTTAAAATCAAGTGAACTGTCTTATCCTGTGACTGCCCATCACCAAAATTAACTTTCAAAGCACAATGAAGAGCAGTGCGATTTCTGTCATCTCGAATCACTAAAAAATCAAATAATTGTTCTGGGGAAAATTTTGATTCTGCTATATCTAAAATTAACTCATGTAAACCATGTGAATGTACCAATGAAGTAAACGGTTTCATATGGTCCAGAGCACAATGAAGAGCAGTGCGCTTACTCTCATCTTGAATCTTTAGAAACTTGAATAATTGTTCTGGAGAAAAATTTGATCGTGCTGTTTCTAAAATGCACTGATCTATCCTACACTTTAACTGCAGATTACAATTATAAACGTCCAAAGCACGCGGAAGTTTCTCACCTAAAATCCCTGGGATAAGGATCCCTTGGTATATACAGAACAATATATGATCTAAACCAGTTGAATTTAACGGTTTAATATGGTCCAGAGCACAATGAAGAGCAGTGCGCTTACTCTCATCTCGAATCATTAGAAACTTGAATAATTGTTCTGGAGGAAAGTTTAATTGTGCTATTTTTAAAATTGACTTAACTATCCTATACTGTGACTGCAGATCACGAAAATAAACTTTCAAAACACAATGAAGAGCAGTGCGATCTCTCTTATTTCGAATCATTAGAAAATGGAATAATTGTTTTGGAGAAAATTTTGATTCTGCAATATTTAAAATGAACTCAACTGTCTTATACTGTGGCAGAAGATCATGAGAATTAACTTTCAAAGCGCTGCCATCTCCCTTACTTCGATTCATTACAAAATCGAATAATTTTTCTGCAGAACATAGTAATTCTGTTGTAACTAAAGTAAACTCAAATAAATCACGTTTTGAATTAAACGGTTTCATATCGTCCAGAGCACAATGAAGAATAGTACGCTTACTCTCATCTCGAATCATTAGAAACTTGAATAATTGTTCTGAAGAAAATTTTATTTCTGTTTTATTTAAAATGAACTCAACTGTATCATACTTTGACTGCAGATCACAATCATCAACGTCCAAAGCACGATGAAACGCAGTGCGATTTCTCTCATCTTGAATCTTTAGAAACTCGAATAATTGTTTTGGAGAAAATTTTGATTCTGATATTTCTAAAATTAACTTAAGTAAATTATGTTGTGAATTAAACGGTTTAATATGGTCCACAGCACAATGAAGAGC